AAGAAGAATGAACCAACCTTTCTTGTGTCCTTGAAAATGGAGGAAGAAGGAGGCTCAACGGGAACCACAACTCCCATCATCGAAGGCGTCCTCGAAGAGTTCGATGACGTGATGCCATCAGAGTTGCCCAAGAAGCTGCCACCAAGAAGAGAGGTGGCCCACAAGATCGAGTTGGAGCCAGGAGCGAAGCCCCCTTCGCGAGCACCATACCGCATGTCGCCACCGGAGTTAGAAGAATTGCGGAGGCAACTCAAGGACTTGGTGGACGCAGGCTACATGCGGCCATCGAAGTCACCTTTTGGAGCACCGGTGTTGTTCCAAAAGAAGAAGGAAGGGTCGTTGCGGATGTGCATCGACTATAGAGCCATCAACAAGTTGATGGTGAAGAACAAGTGGCCGATTCCCAACATTGCCGACTTGTTCGACCAGCTTGGAGATGCGATGTTGTTCACCAAGCTAGATCTTCGCTCGGGCTACTATCAAGTGCGGATAGCAGAGGGCGACGAGCCAAAGACGGCTTGTGTGACGAGGTATGGCTCTTACGAGTTTCTTGTGATGCCATTCGGTCTCACCAACGCACCAGCCACGTTTTGCTTTTTGATGAATCAAGTGTTCGAGCCATTCTTGGACCGGTTTGTCGTGGTCTACTTGGATGACATCGTCGTGTATAGCAAAACACTCGATGAGCATGCCGAGCATCTACGTCAAGTCTTCCAAGTCCTTCGCGACAACGAGTTGTACGCCAAGAGGGAGAAGTGCACATTTGCCGCCACGGAGGTTCCATTCTTGGGGCACGTCATTGGTGGAGGCAAGTTGAAGATGGATGGAGCGAAGGTGCAGGCAATCCAATGGGAGCCGCCGACGAAGGTGCCAGAGTTGCGGTCATTCATCGGCCTTGCCAACTACTATCGGAGGTTTATCAAGGGCTACTCCAACATTGCAGCACCCTTGACGGATCTCTTGAAGAAGAACAAGGCGTGGGATTGGTCGGAAAGGTGCCAAGAAGCATTCGAGGCCTTGAAAGCAGCGGTTATGAAAGAGCCCGTGCTCGTGCTCCCCAACCCGACGTTGGCCTACAAAGTGCAGACCGATGCATCCGACTTCGCAATTGGGGGCGTATTGATGCAAGATGGGCATCCCATTGCCTTCGAGAGTCGGAAGCTCAGCGAGACGGAGAGGCGATACACCGTTCAAGAGAAAGAGACGACGGCCGTGGTGCATTGCTTGCGCACATGGAGGCACTACTTGTTGGGGGCCAAAGTTCGTAGTGAAGACGGACAATGTGGCAACGAGCTACTTTCTGACGCAGAAGAAGCTCACCCCTAAGCAAGCAAGGTGGCAAGACTTTTTGGCCGAGTTCGAATTCGTTATGGAGTACAATCCAGGCAAGGCGAATTCCGTTGCCGATGCTCTTAGCCGCAAGAGTGCATCCGCAAGCATCAGCCAGCCCACATTTCCTTTGAAGGAGCGGATCGTCGAAGGCCTTGGCCATGACCCCTTCGCCAAAACCGTAGCGGAGTACGTCGAGCAAGGTAAAACTCGACGGTTTTGGATGAAGGATGGGCTTATCATGACCAAGGGGGAGCGGGTGTTTGTGCCAAGATGGGCCAACTCGAGGAAGGAGATCATGAAGGAGTGCCATGATTCCAAGTGGGCGGGCCATCCCGGCATCGAGAGAACGCAAGCGCTCATCAAAGAAGCATACTTATGGCCGCGTATGAAAGACGACGTGGAGATGTATGTGAAGACTTGTCTTGTGTGCCAACAAGACAAGATGGAGAAGAGAAGCCCGACAGGCTTGCTAGAGCCCTTGCCCACGCCTCAACGACCATGGGAGAGTGTAAGCATGGACTTCATCATCGGACTTCCCAAAGTCGATGGATGCGGTTGCATCATGGTTGTGGTGGACAGATTCTCAAAGTATGGAGTGTTCATTCCTGGGCCAAAAGACTTGACGGCAGAGGATGCGGCACGTCTATTCTTCAAGAACGTGGTCAAGTATTGGGGCGTTCCTAGCAACATTGTGAGCGACAGAGATGGGCGCTTCACGGGCAGATTTTGGCGAGAGTTGTTCAAGATCATGGGCTCAAACTTGAACTTCTCAACGACATTTCATCCTCAAAGCGACAGACAGACGGAGCGGGTGAATGCCTTGTTGGAGGTGTACTTGCGGTACTACGTGAGTGCAAACCAACGAGATTGGGTGAAGTTGATGGACACGGCACAGTTCTCCTACAACTTGCACCGCAGCGAGTCGACCAACACGAGTCCATTTGAGTTGGCGACGGGGTAGCAACCTTTGACACCTACGACGGTGGCAACGGGGTATAGAGGCAACAGTCCGGCAACCTACAAATTTGCTAAAGGCTGGCACGAGAAGATGGAGATGACCAAGTCTTACTTAGCCCGCGCTAGCAAGAAGATGAAGAAATGGGCGGATAAGAAGAGGCGGCACTTGGAGTTTGAAGAGGGAGACATGGTGATGGTCAAGTTCTATCCTCATCGCTTCAATCATCTCAAGAACGTGCACAAGGGACTGCTTTGCCGCTATGAAGGGCCATTCCCCATCGTGAAGAGGATTGGCAAGGTGGTATAAAAGGTGGAGTTGCCGACGCACTTGGAGATCCATCTGGTCTTTCATGTGAGCCAACTCAAGCCTTACCACGAAGACAAGGAGGACGAGCAGCGAAGGGAGTCGCAGCGCGCTCCAACACTCATCACCAAGACACACGACCATGAAGTCGAAGAAATCATGGCGCGTCGTGTCATTCCTCGTCGTGGCGTACATCCAAGCTTTGTGGAGTACTTAGTCAAGTGGCGCAACCTTCCGGAGAGTGAAGCAACTTGGGAGAAAGAGCTCACGCTTTGGAAGAACAAGGACTTGATCGAGGCATTCCATCAAGAGGACGCGACGAGGGCGTCGCGAGCATAGGTGGGGGAGGATGTCACATGTGGCAGATGACATGGCGCCAACAAGGTGACAACATGGCGGCTGCACATGTGGCATGCATGGAAGACTAGTAGCATAGAGATGCTCATAGGATTCTCCACCTTAATGTAGAGCTTAATGGTGCACTTATGAGTCACATAATGGGTGACATTTATAGAGTGCATAATGGGGGGACTTAATGGAGTGTATTGATGTAGTAGAGGGACATTATGAGGGGCATTGATGGCTTGTATGTGGAGAGGCCTATATAAGGAGCCATCTCCCTCACTTGTAACTCATTCCATCATTTTTGAGAGTAATACACACTAGAGAGTTCTCCCAATCCTTTGTCTTTGATTTCTTGTTCTTTGCTTGCTTGTGAGTTTGAGAGAAGGCTGCCTAGCGCTCTAACGGAATTGAGAGCTAGGGCCGCACGATCGAGAGCAAGGTCGTGACACCTCTCACCCAAAGAAGTTCTTGGATTCTCGCGCCTGCGACGAACACGAAGCGCAAGTCCAAGAATAATTGTTGAAGTAGATCCGATTCTTGACTCGATTCCATCCAATAACCATGAATTTCATCGCTCCATCCCAAGATTGTGGTTGTTGTTTCTCTCATAAACTTGGGTTTTTTCTTTGATTGATCAAGATGATCGAAATTGGCAGTGCATAATGGGGGGACTTAATGGAGTGTATTGATGTAGTAGAGGGACATTATGAGGGGCATTGATGGCTTGTATGTGGAGAGGCCTATATAAGGAGCCATCTCCCTCACTTGTAACTCATTCCATCATTTTTGAGAGTAATACACACTAGAGAGTTCTCCCAATCCTTTGTCTTTGCTTTCTTGTTCTTTGCTTGCTTGTGAGTTTGAGAGAAGGCTGCCTAGCGCTCTAACGGAATTGAGAGCTAGGGCCGCACGATCGAGAGCAAGGTCGTGACACCTCTCACCCAAAGAAGTTCTTGGATTCTCGCGCCTGCGACGAACACGAAGCGCAAGTCCAAGAATAATTGTTGAAGTAGATCCGATTCTTGACTCGATTCCATCCAATAACCATGAATTTCATCGCTCCATCCCAAGATTGTGGTTGTTGTTTCTCTCATAAACTTGGGTTTTTTCTTTGATTGATCAAGATGATCGAAATTGGCAGTGCATAATGGGGGGACTTAATGGAGTGTATTGATGTAGTAGAGGGACATTATGAGGGGCATTGATGGCTTGTATGTGGAGAGGCCTATATAAGGAGCCATATCCCTCACTTGTAACTCATTCCATCATTTTTGAGAGTAATACACACTAGAGAGTTCTCCCAATCCTTTGTCTTTGCTTTCTTGTTCTTTGCTTGCTTGTGAGTTTGAGAGAAGGCTGCCTAGCGCTCTAACGGAATTGAGAGCTAGGGCCGCACGATCGAGAGCAAGGTCGTGACACCTCTCACCCAAAGAAGTTCTTGGATTCTCGCGCCTGCGACGAACACGAAGCGCAAGTCCAAGAATAATTGTTGAAGTAGATCCGATTCTTGACTCGATTCCATCCAATAACCATGAATTTCATCGCTCCATCCCAAGATTGTGGTTGTTGTTTCTCTCATAAACTTGGGTTTTTTCTTTGATTGATCAAGATGATCGAAATTGGCTTTTGCTTCCTCGGAGAAGCCCTAATGGTTTATGCTTCACAGATTGGGACATGCACTTGAGTTTCCAATTAGTAGAAAGAAGCAAAGTTCAAGTTGCAGGATTTGTAAGTCTGAAAGAAGGGTTGACAGAGTTAAGGGAGAAAAAGAAGTGTTAGCCATGGGTCAGGCGGCTGTGAAAGATAACAAATTTGTGGAGCTATATCTTATGAAGAGAAAGAGAACGAGTTTGAAGAGGACGAGTTAGGGTGCTAACTCTATAGGAGGTTAGCACCGTGCTAACCACTCTAATCACCGTTCAATACATGTCTAGATCTGACGGTGAGCACCAATGAGGGGCTTATTTGGTATTTTGAAAAATTAAATTTAACAAATTAATTAAATTTTGAAATATATTTCACTATTTTTATACAGATCCAACTTAAAAAATTTACTACCGAAAAATTAATACTACTCATATTAGTAGCGATCTTTGTGGATTATAGTAGTGATTTTATATTTTTAAGAGTTTAAATTACTATTAGTAGGGATTCTGGAATTTGCAGTAGTAGTAATTGCTAACTTTTAGAAAGGAGTGATAACATATTTATTATTAGTATGAATCAGTACAGTGCTTAAAATGGAAAAGACTACTAAGAATGAATCACCAAAGAAGAAAACACTACTAACATAAGTATCAATACTACACAATTGCTACTAGAAAAACACTACTAAAGTTAGTATACCAGAAGCAAACAGTACACGATTTTCCCATCCCTAAGATTTGTGCTCCCATCATTAGAAAACATAAATGAACACAAATCACTAATGATAATCCAAGAATCACTACTCAGATCTGTCTCCGCAATCCATTATGGGACTCATGGACCGCCGCAGATCCATCGCTCCAATCCAAAGACTCGACCCCCAACAACTTCAGAGCAGAGCAGAGGACGGCGTTGCAATGAGAAACCGCCAAGGAGAGAGGTTGTGGCGGCGTCACAAGAAGTTCCACGCGAGAGAAGCGAAGCGCTTGTCACCTACTCCCAGCCGATGCGATCTTCTCCAATGGAAAGCTTTCTTTGCTAGCGATCGTCGTCGTTTCGTCGGCTCTCTCTACCAGCCGTCGTCACAGATGTCGTTGGCGAGGAAACAATGAGACACCCTCAACCTCAAACCCAACAACCGCTTTGCTCTCTTGTTCCTCGTTGGCAAAGAGCATTAGCAATCGACCTCCATTCTAGATCTAAATCCTTGGAAATAGCAGGAGCAATTTCCTAGAGGAAGTTATGAGAAAGAGGCTGGGAGTGAGGAGAGCGGCTGCGTGACTTTTATAGTTAGGGTTAGGAGAATTAATTATGCAATTGACAAAGATAACCTCCAACTAATTATAACCCTTAGGATTATTATTTTAATCTAATGACTAAAAAGATGGTTAGTATGGTGCTAACCCATTAAGGGGTTAGCAACTAATCTCATCCCGTTTGAAGGAGATAAATGTGAAGCAAAGACGAATCAGTGGGTAGCCAACATTTCGTTTAAAGTGGGTCCGAAATAAAAATATATAAAAATAAACTTAATTAATATTTACAATGATCCACTATGTATTTTCATATCTTGAAAAATTTGCAAAATACACTCATCCTTCAACCTATTTAAAATGTCATTTTCAACACATCCTAACAAAAAATTATTCAACCCTTCATCACTCATTCGATTTCATATTGTTTTACTGTATTCTTCAGATAGTTCATTGTGAAAAATAATCTTTCATCACTTGCGGTGATGACTTATAACAACAACGCCAATTTCACAAGTCGATCACTGATAAAAATTATCGAAACTTTTTTGACACAACCATTTTCTTACAAAGCTCAACACAATTCCCTTCAACTTAGTGAATCTTTTATACATCTTCACATCAAAGATATAACTATCTAGTTGAGAATGAATATATATATATATATATATATATATGTATATGCAATGCAGTCAAAATCTAGATTTTAAGTAAAATCGAAAACTGAGGTAGAATCGAAATCGTAGATTAAAATCGTAAGATTTTAAGGTTCATATTAAAATAAATACTTAAAACACTAAATAGTAATAAAAATGCATATCTTGAATAACAATCAACCACATAAAGCATAATTACTTCCCAAGATAAGTTTGTTTGCTAAACAAACACAACTAATCCATATATTTTTCTTGTACATAATAGAAACACACAAATAAGAAACCTGAAACATTATAGATATCACTGTTAATTAATTGTTAAGAGTAGAAAATCACATAAGATCGTTAGGATCAACATTAACATCACTTACACATCATCGTCATCATCCTCAACCTCACCCTCACCCTCACTCTCATCGTTTTTATTTGTTTAAGGACTAATATCATTACTCTTATGATCACTTGAAGTACTTTCACCATTAACCATATTTCCTTGATTACCATCATCTGGAAAAGATAACTCATTGATTGATGCATTCCCTTCTTAATTGATAAAAGGTCGGGTTAGTGGTGCTGAAGGATTGGGAGATGAACAAAAGCTTGCAATGTAATGGAGATTTGGATTATTGTGAGGGTGGTGGGAACAAACTACAAGCTAATTGGGAGGGTGGAAGATATCGTTGATGGAAGGAATTGGGCGCCGACGTGCGAAAGAGAAAGATACGAGGAAGAGAATGAAAATAAATTGAGGGTTAACTTTCAGGTTGGGGTTGTGTTGTTCATTATGTTGGGTTGGGGAAAGTAAATTTGACTCGGTTCATGGGCATAACCCAACTTGACCGGCCTAATTTTGATCCAATTTATATGAACCTTGAAATCGTACAAAATCGTAGAAATCGTAGATTTTATGGATTTTAGAGTTTTAAATCGGGATTTTATGGGATTTTAAGGTTCAAAGATTTTACAGTAAAATCAAGATCGGAACCCATAGGTAAGATCGTAAAATCGTAAGATTTTAAGATTAAAATCGGGATTTTGACTACACTGTGTATATGTATATGTATATGTATATATATATATATATATATATATATATATATATATATATGGGGCAAAGGCTAGCGTTCACCTAGTGTACGATGTACACTTGTGTTCACACTTATAAATTAATTATATATTATTTTAATTTAGTTACAATCAATTTAATTATTAATAATAAATATAATTACAATCATACTCACTCGTTATTTCCTGTATACGTTTTAGTCCCATATAAATTTTTATTGTACATTACGCTTAAATCAATCTTTGAACTCGTAATTATATGAATCATAGTGCTCTTTTCTCCAAATCATTAATTTATAACACCTAAAATTAAAATTTATCTACAACTACAACCACTGTCCCTACGACTACAATTTACAACACCGTTTGTCGTCATTTGTCTTCATTCATTTTATCTCCTTCATCTTTTTCAGTAGAGGTAGGAAAGAGGTTTTTACTTTTAAATCCTCTGTTCCTTTAACTCCCATTCTCCCCTGATTCAGATCAGCCGCCATAGACTTTAGATCCCCATTCTCCAATCGCCAATCGCCAAATCCCCTTCGCCAAAACATGAGCATAGCTGGTCAATCGGGAGCTGGGATCCCCGCCTTCAGCCATCGATTTTGTCGAAATAGGAACAAGGAATCCCCAATCCGCCTGTCTCTATAGTTCGTAAATGTGAGTTGTACCGGCTAGACCTTGTCTTGAAGACCTCAGTCGTCTAGAGTGATCTCGATCGCCAATTCTGTCCAGCTGCTATCGGGTCCTGAAGGGATTTCGTGATCTTCGATCGTCTTTGGTGCGGTAGATGAAGCGCCTCTCAAGCAAAATCCCTAACATTTCTTTTGATTCCCCTTATTTTTCTCCTTCCGCTAATCCTTCTTTTTCCTGTCTCCTTTCTTATATTGTTACAATTCATAAATGGAATTCTGGTTGCGGTAGATGAAGCGCCGTCTCTATGAAAGTATGAACCCCGAAACAAAAATCTAAGGCAAGAGAATTGTATTTGGGAAGCTTCGTAATGGCTGTAGATTTTCTAAACCCAGAAACCCAAATCCCATATTCTATGTAATTGCATGTCTCAATTTCAGTACAGGGGTCGTGTCTAGGAACTAAAGCCACAGGTGGATTGGGTATTCCCTCTACTATTTCGATGAAATCGATGGCTGAAGGTGGAGATTCAATAGCCACTCGAGTTTTGGCGAAGGGGATGAGGCGAATGGGGATCTAAGTCGATGGTGAGCTGATCTGAATCGGCGGAGATAAATGAACAGAGGATTGGGAAGGATATAGCACTTTCTCTCCTCTGATGAAGAAGACGAAGTAGATGAGATGAATAAAGATTAAACGGCAGATGAGATTCGGTTGTAAAAAGTTTTTTTTTTTGTGAATTAGTTGTGTTGTAAATTCTAATCGCATGAGCAAACTAAAAGTGAAAAGTTATTATTCTGCAAATTGAAAAGGCATGAGCAAACGAAGTTGTAGATAAGTTTAAAGTTAAGGTGTTCTAAATTTATGATTTGGAGAAAAGGATAATTTATATAAGTAGTAGTTATATGATTGATTTGAGCGAAATATAAAATAAAAATTGATATGGGACTAAAACATATACAACAATTAATGAATGGGTATAATTGTAATTATATTTATTATTAATAATTAAATTGATTATAATTAAATGAAATTAATTATTAATTTATTTATAGGCGTGAACACAGATGTACACCGTACACCAGGTGTACGCTAGCCTGAACCATATATATATATATATATATGGTAATGACTTGTGTACGTCAGGCGTATAGTATACAACAAGTGAACTAACCGTTAGATGTACTTAGATGAGCTCCGGCCGATCTCAACTGTCAATTTTTGTTTTTCATTAAATCAAACTTCGGGTTGGGGTTTAGAAAACCGGAGCCTGGGGTTTATCCATTAGAGGTTAGGGTATAGTATCATACCCCAAACTCGATTTAATTCATGGTTTAGATAGAGATATCTCACTAGTAGTACCTGACATATAGTATACTCCTGGCGTATACTCCTGACATATATATATGGTGACTACTTTGGTGCACTCACAAAAATGGGTGCATTGCAACTCAAAAACTAGTCTTAAGGTGTCGGATTTTGAATTTTAATTTGTAGAATTAGTGTAATATGATAGCATAACATATGATAACAACTAATTAGCGGATTACCCTAAGCCCTAGACCCATAGGCGGAGGGAGGCCCATTGGACCTTGTCCCGGAACAGGGGTAAATTTCGGAGGAACAAAAATATGTCATATATATGTATATTGGTGATGCAAAACAACGTCTATAGGTAGTATTAGAGTATTTTTGTCACTACAGCACAACTCATTACTTATTCATAAATTGACATAAAATTAATTTATTATACTACAAATGAATTCTAATTGGAGTAAAGACCTAATCGGATCTCTTTTCTCCTTATGCCTATTCGATTTTTCCCCAATAACCCTGAAATTGTCTAGCGACAGCGACAACTCCACTAGTTTTGATTCTACGAATTACAACTGCAAATGTAAAAAGAGCATTTTCAGTTTTGAGTTATATTAAGAACAAGTTTCCAAGTCGATTTGGCGACCAATTTGCTCATGCTAATTTAGTGAGATATATTGAAAAAGACTTACTTAATAGTGTAGACGACGAATGTTTCTGCGTTTCTTTCACAATATGAAATCTCCGTGGTTGTTAAAAACAATGATTGTATAGTCGGTTATTTTTAATCTATGAATGAATTATGCATATATAATTAATTTTAATTATTTTTTGTTAAATTATTTTTAATGAAATATATATATATATTTATATTTTGAAAAGAGGAAAGGGGTGGTTTGAAATGCTGGCTCCGCCACTGCCTAGACCTCCAATTTTGAGTTCCATCCCTAAACCCCAAATTGTAAACCCTAACCCTAAATCTCTAAACTCTAAATCCTTCAAATTAAAGTAAATCTTTAATGGTTTTTGTGAAAATTCATGTGCGTTATTGTTCATCACATCATAAGTGAAGATTGACATCATTTGACATAAATCACATGTTTAAAATGACGGTTATGAAGCGAGTGCACTGAATGCACCAATTATCATTTGATGATTATCATTCTTCATTCTCAAGAACCTCCACACCAGTTATCGGAACGTTTCGAACGCTAATCGGAGAAGTTTCTACAAAAGTGTAGAAATGATAAAGCTTTACAATCATCAAAAAATTTCAAGTACATGTCGTGTTTCAAGACATTCTGGAAGTAGAAATTCTTCCACATCTTCACTATCCGAGTCTTTGCAATGGAGTGTGTACATCATATGGAATGTCCTCTAAATAAGAAAAAACAAAAAAGATTATTTATTCTAACAAGATATATATGAGTTGCTACAATTCGAACACAACACTTTCTTCATTTCAAAAAACAACTAAGCATTCATAACTGTATATTCATTCATGACATATTCATCTAATTTTTCAAAGAACTCCTCCAAATCTCAATCGATATTTTCGTACGCAAATAATCGTCTATTGTCCTCGTCCAATTACATCAATCCGAGCAACACCTCCTTTGTATCT